AGCAATCCAGAGTAACAGTTTGTAACGTCTCTTCCTCCCTCTTATATTCCCCTCTCAGTCAGCAACAACAGGTGCTGTAATTCTGCCTAGCATACAGCTTGACCTGGTTGTAAGTAGAAAACCCCAACACAAGTACAATGCTGAAAGTGCTTCATTTCCTTCAAAGTGACATTGTGATTACCCATACACTACTGAATAAAACTACATGCCCAGTACTCAAGCTGAACAAAAAGTGTGACATTTTTCACTGAAGTATTTCCTTTCAATCAAAGCAACTTCAAGATAATCTCTCATAAAAAATTCTAATACTTCCAAAAATTGTAATGCTCCAATTCAGCAAAGAATTTCAGAACACATTTACCTTTATTCACAAGAATGGCCCCATTGGCCACATCTAGACAAGCGTGGGCACTTGTTTCCCTGGGGACAAGTAGGAGTGGCACATCCCTGGGGAACACCTGTGCCGTGCATGCTCTCATGCAGGGCAGGTTGCCCTGGATGGGGTAGGGGAGGCAGGGACCAGCAACTGTGCTGGCCCCCGCAACCTAACCTGGAGTCATGGAGGTCTCTGGGAGCTGCAGTGATCCTGCAGCTGGGAGCCAGGCCAGCAGCTGGAGCATGACTCCAGCCAGACAGGCTCTGTTTTTGGGTGGCAGTCATTGCTGCCACATGCACCAACCCACTTTTTTTAGGTGTGGGTTTTTTTGACTCTGGGATCTCCCAGGGTCAACCTCCCCTCCCCCCCACATCACAAGGTAGTAGTGCAGGGAACCACTGTATGTGTGGTGCATGGCACTGCACACAGGTCTGTGGTGCCACATACCGCTCATACGTGTTCATCTGGATGCAGCCATTGACTTCAAACAGAATAGCCACATATTTAAAAGTTAAGCCTGTGGTAAAGTGCCCCACTGAACCATGGAGGAAGGGAAGGTTTTTAACAGAGGTTTTTAACACAAATCGTGGCTAGATGCCTGGCTCCAATGGGGGTCAATGGGCATATGGTACCTGCTTGTCTTTTGGGGCCTTTGAAAATCTCTCCTGAAAAGATGTAATTAAAGGAGTCACAGACAATGCTCAAACATGAAGCACTGCAACATGTTTGTCTAGGATAGTTCAGACAGGGATGATTGTGCCTAAAGAACCTCCTGAGGTCCCTTCCAACCCTACTTTTCTAGAATCTATGACTATGATTTCTGGGGGTCTGATGCCAAGTGATGCTGAATCCCTTCTATGTTACACTAAGCATCCTCATTTTAACCAAACAAGTGACTGTTCAGGGCACTCAAGGTCTTGTGAGGATTGGAACCTATACCTCTTCGTTGTTTTTTAAAACTTTTCCCCTCTCCATTTCTCTGGTTTTGAACTCCCATCTAATTCAAAAGTAATGTCTCTACCTTAGCTACCATCTCCAAAAAATTAAGATGACAACAGATGGAAAAGATTTTTTTTCCTCCAAAAAAGATGACCTTTTCATGGCATTTGCCTGCTGTGAAGATAATATGAACTCTATAGCGAAATGATGACTAAGTGCCTGCAAGCCAGCTGATTGATAAATGACTTCAGCTAGCTAATTGGCCACAACTGGTTCTTTTAATGGAATGTGCGAATATTAGCACGCATATTCAAACTGATGTTTGTCTAACTGGATGGAGCAATCTAAGAGAATAACCCAACAGGTCTTTTCCATCTTTAGCTGCTAAATTCTTCTACATGCACAGTTCCTATTTTCTTATTAAAAATAAGAATTCAAGAAACTATGGAAATGCAGCATTATAGCTGAGAATTTATCTAACATGCTGGTTAGCATGCTGTATATATCCCCATGTGTCTGATCCACAATGAATACATTTGCTATATTTCATCCTTTACAAGTTTGTATGATGCATTAGTTAAACTGGAAAGGTTCATCCTTCGGATCTGGAGGCTACACAGTTTTTTTTTCCCATAAGATGACCAACCTGACAGTTGGATATATTTGCACATACAAAATTAAGGGAATTCTCCAATACTTATGCAAGGTCCCCACATCAATTGTCATTCAAATAACAGACACACTACAGTTAATACCAGATACTGCACATACACAAGAGAGCTAGCCATTCTAAAAACTGTTAAGTCTGAATGACTTAAGATTACTACATTTAAAAATTAAGCCATATACCTGTATTAATATCATGCAAGATTTTAATTCTATTAAAAGTAAAGGCTATTGTACAGCTAAGAAAATCAGTACCAGAACAGATATGGTCTCCTAATAACAGTACAGATGTCACTGTGCAGGTTTACTTTTATTCATCTCTCTGTCCTTATACCATAGGGAAAGCATAGCCAGAGTAGCCACAGAGTATTCCTTTAACTTTGGTAACTACTATAGCATTTCTAAAAATATTAAATCTAACTTGATAGATATACACCGTATATTTTTCTGATGCCCGAAATGGTGTTGTCTAGAACTGTATTACTCATTCAGATTAAATGACAGGGAAAACAAATAAAGACCTCATCTGGAAAATCCATCAAGCTTACTGAAAAATTTGGTGGAGGGACATCCATCCCCTCACTATCAGTTTACATAGAAAACAGCCAGAAAATTAACAAAAGACTCTCAGTTGAAGGCTCACATAGATTTCATAGACATTAGGGCTGGAAAGAACCTAGGAAGATCATCAAGTCCAGACCCCCGTCCAAAGGGCAGGAAGTCAGCTGGGGCCATAAGATCCCAGCAAGATAAGCATCCAATTTGCTCTTGAAGGTGTTCAATGTAGGTGCTTGAACCACACCCGATGGCAGGCTGTTTCAGACCTTGGGGGCTCGGACAGTAAAGAAATACTTCCTTATGTCCAGCCTGAAACGGTCTCGCAGTAGTTTATGACCGTTCGACCTCGTCATCCCTTGGGGTGCTCTGGTGAACAAACGTTCCCCCAGATCCTGGTGGTCACCCCTGATAAACTTATAGGTGGCCATCAGATCACCCCTGAGCCTGCGTTTTTCCAGGCTAAAGAGCCCCATGGCTCTCAGCCTGTCGTCGTAAGGTCTGTTTTCCTGACCTCTGATCATGCGCGTGGCTCTTCTCTGGACTCTCTCAAGCTTCTCCACATCCTTTTTGAATTGTGGAGCCCAAAACTGGACGCAGTACTCCAGCTGCGGCCTCACCAAGGCCAAGTACAAGGGGGGAATGATGTCCCGAGGTTTGCTTGAGAAGCATCTGTGGACGCAAGCCAGCATTTTGGTCGCTTTACTAGCCACAGCATCACATTGTAGGCTCATGTTCATCTTGTGGTCAATGATGACCCCCATATGCTTACTCATACTGAGTAAACCTGACTCAATGTGTTGACTTCAATGGGAGTACTCAGAGGGCATGTGTACATGTTCATTAATGCACTTTTGCTATTGTACATTACGTTTAGTACCTCTAACACGAGGTACTACATAAAGGCACATTAGGCTGCTCTAATGAGCAGTAACAAAAGCGAACACCTTTTTAGTGATATTTAATGCGCAGAAGACTAATTCTTCTGTGCATTAGCGTATGAACACTGTTTTTGCCACAACGCTTTAATGCACAGTAGAAGAGGCAATTGTGCATTAAAGTGCTCGTGTAGACGTGCCCAGAGTGTAAGATACTACTCAATGCAAGCAAGGTTATTTGCAACTGGCCCTTAATTTCTAATAATATAAATAAATAAAGTCTTTCAATGATTCTGTGTCCACATCAGCTACGTCTAGTCAACAATACTAAGCTGAAGAGAGATTTGTAAATATTGCACATATGTCAACTACATGTGGCGACTTAGATGAACATCTCGTTTCCTATCCCTTTAGGTCTATTATATTACAGTCCTGATTGAACCAAAATGCATAGAAGAGAATGATCTGCCACACAATTTATTAAAGTTGATGGAGTGTAGACAGACTTTTCAATAGCCTTTAAAATACTGTGATGCTCTGTAGCACATTATTAATGGAAACAAATGCAGGCAATCTGCTTCAGCTTTTCACGAAGCTGTCCACTAATGATGCTATGATGTAAATCAATTCCATTCCATTTCTTCCTTTGTGCAGGAAAACTTTAAGGGGCAACATCAAGGTTGGAAGGCAAAAAGAACCCAACTCCTATAGTTGTATAAAAGTTATACCATACCAAATAGACTGCAGGCAAGTTTACTGGGAAGTTTTAAGGAAATAAAGCATATAAATCCAATCTCCCATAAATAAGCATGGTGCATACACCTTTAGGTCCCATGACAACAAATCACTGTGTCATTTCAGTGTGTGATAGCAGGTACATATGTAAGCTTCAGAGGGCAAGAAGCTTGTCAATTTTTTTAACCTCCCAAGTACCAAAGAGAGGCAGGCAAATGTTATGTGGAGAATTATCTGCTTACAATGCCTGCCTCAGATATCTGCCCAATAATTAAGAATGGCTGTTTGCACTTACAATAACAACAATACATTAAAAATGGAGCAGAGGGAACTGTGGTTGCTACATCCAAAGACACATTTTTAGTTTTAAAAAGGACAAGTCACAACAAATAGTTTCTAAATAAATATTAAATTTGCTGATAGAAAAGTGTTGATCGGCACATAGGAAGTGTAGAAGATCAAGATACATTCAGTAATCAGAGAAGGATCTTGGAAAGACACCAGCTGTCTTTTACTGCACATTCCTCAATCACATCGTTCAAAATTTAAAGCCTCTCATCCCTCTCCCACGCACTGGCCAAATTGAAAATTAAATCTGTTTCCCATCTTGCTCAGCTGTAGTGTGATTTGGTTGACAAAGCCCAGGGGTAAAATCTTAACCTTACTGAACTCAGTAGGAACTTTGTCACTGATTACAGTGGGTTCACTATGTCACTTCCTGACCTGTCACCATGTAGGCTCTGAAAGCTGCGGCAGTGACAAAAGTAGCTTAGTCTCAGGCTCAGCTTTACCCTTAGAGCTGCTTTTTAGTCAAGCATGTGAACCAGTGAAATGCATGAAGGCTGACCTACCTCAAACAATGAGCCTTGATAGACACAAGCACCTGTAGGACCAAAAAAAGAACATGGATTAAAACAGATTCAGCGACTAATCAGTGCTTTAAAATACTATATATATATAATACATGCTTATAATTCTCGATTTCTTCATAGCTCAAGCCTCCCACTTATAAAACAAGGTTTTGGCCACAAAGAAGCTGATTTTGTCTTCTCTGGACACCCACAATTCCCACTAATGTCAATGAGGGTTTTAGATGCATCAGTGATATTCATGCAAAAAAAAAATGCAACAAGAGATACTGGTGCTATGAACATGTTATTTCACTTTTACCATACTTTTGACCCCATCCCATCCTAACACCTTTGTTTTTCTTCCAGAGGTCAGTAGAACCCAGTGTTTCCATGACCGCTCTGACTGAAGAGCAGGCCAACTGCTCTTTCCTTCATCAAGGTCTCTGTTTAAAGCCTTAACCAGAGCAGCCATAGAGAACAAGTACACCATGGGCAGGAGCAATAAAAATTTCACCCATGGTCTTAAGGCAGTGGTCTTAAGCCTAATCTGGAGGGACCAGTCTTTATGGGAATGGGGTAGGTTAGCTCTAATGCCAGGACATTCTTTCACGACTCTTCTGACACTGCCAGCAAGTGGATCAATCAGCCTGGAGCCTCCCTGGAAGGTTTATTTTTGACATCAGTTCACTAGAGACAGCACTGACACCAGTCACTCTTCTGCTTCTTTATCTAGGCTCTTGTACAGCAAGATGCCCTTGCTGTGGCACCTGCGCACCTTTCACACTAACCACCAAATATCTTAATGCAATAAGCTTTCCAGCTTGAACATGAATTAATGCCATTGAGGTGAAAGTCTTCCAGACTTCTAGCCACTCCATACAGTTCTATCCCTTTTAATGAACTGGCCTTCTAGCAAGGAGACCTTCATATACATCTATTCGTAGTGAAAAACTTGTTTGCCATGTAAGCAATCTGCCTTAATATTTGCATGTTTCAGTCTTGTTCCTAACATGCACCACCACAGACGTGAAGTCTGCATACTTATGACTTACTCCTCTCTCCACTAGAACCAACCCCTCGGGCTACTCGGTGAGCAAAGGCAAATAATAAAAGGTTGTTTCTGTGACATAAGGTTACAGGAGTGATCAACCCACAGCCCACTGGCCAAATCCCCACGGGGCTCTGTATGAGTTTGTAAATTTAGCAGCGGGGGAAAACAGTGGCAATTAACACTGCCACCCCTTCCCCCTTACCAAATTTCCAAGACCCGCATGGCTGGATCAGGCCCAGGCCAAGCTGCTGCCACACAGCTGGATTGGGCCCCAGTTGTGCCTGTCCCAGGCACTGGATTGGGCCCTCATTATTTCCACTCCCACACCAGCTCGAACCCACGAATCTGTGGGACCAAAAGGTTGGGCACCATTCCAGTAACACAAGGTTGAGTAACACACGGATGAATAAAATAAAAATGAACTAGTAAGTTTGAAAGGATATAAAACCAACAACTGGCCATTTGTTGGGCAGATGAAAGACAAACACATGAAGTTTTGGTGCAGCCTGACAACACAAGCTATTCAGCCCTGGCAGAGATATAGACATGGGGCCCTGTTCAGTGAAATGAAGGATGAAGAGACAAAAAGGAGGCCTGAGAATGTCTTGCAGTTGGTCTCCTAAAAGGGCTGAACATTTGCATCTGTCCATTTGCCTCTGCTGTACACCTGCCAGACCATTAATGAAATGTCAGACATTAAATTTACACAAAATAGCCTGTTTTCTTTCTCAGCCTGAGGTCAAGTGTAGAGACAACGGCCAGTAAAACCTGGATAGGGAACTACTAGCATCTGGCAATAAAATAAAGGTGGGAGTTTAACCCTCCAAGTATCAGCCTGGATTATCCTGGTTAGTCCTAGTTTTATTGCTACTCAAATCACAACATTCTAAAGATATCAAATGCTGGAGTCCATACTCAAACTAAACCCCCACTGCCTTACGTTGGCATTTTGGATGAATTTGGAAAGCTGAGAGATGATCCATTCTGCACTAATGAGACTGGCTCTCTTCCTCCACTGCATGATGGCAAGAATGTGGTTTCATGTATGCCTAACTATCCTTGCTTCCAGCCATCTCCCATCCCTGGATTGGCATGCTTGGCTCCCACTGAAATAAACAAGAGTCACATGCACTCAGACAAAGAATCTGATCCTTAAACTTGCAAGCATACACGGCATACAAATTGTCCACTAAAAGAAGGAAAGTTTCTTCTTTTTGCACTTTTAAAAATCCTTACTACTCTTGACAGGATTTATACCTGTAAACCACCAAAGAAAGTAAGGGGGGAGGGCGCAGGGAAGGGAAGGCATAAAAATGTGACTGCTTTAAAAAACTAGTACAAATTCCAGTTCTTAAAAATCATTCTACATACAAAGGGTCGCATTCTGCCCATGATGTGTTCCTGTGTTGTCCATTAAAAATCATACCTATTTGAGGGTGAGAGCTAACAATGTAGTGTTATTTCATGTTTCTCTTTTGATAATCCTGCAGTAAGTTCTCTGTTCCATCTAGGCTCTCTCAGTAATAACACTGTGTGTGTGTGTATATATGTAGTATCTGTATCACAGTTATTTTGAAGAGCTCAAGCGTCCCAGCTATTTTGAGATACAGTCACATTGTTCACTCCCCATTAATACCCCAGTCGAATCCCTGATACTGACATTGACAATAATGAAAGGGAAAGATTATTCAAGCAATTGATTGGTGAGATACAGTTTGTACACTCCACCTTCATAAATCAAGTGAGAAGGTGGAAAATGAAATCATGAACAAGTTGAATGACAGTTCACTTATTTTCTGGGAGGGAGGCTTCAAACAGCTGTGCACATCTGTCTACTGAAGATATGACAAGAATATAAATGAAAAGCTACACAATAAATTGAAAAATAAAAGAGGGAAAAAGCAGGCAATGAAAGCTGCCTAAAAGGACCACCCATGAGACTAACAGATTTTGGATGCCTGGAGAAAGGATTTTCCTTAAAAACAGATTAGAGGAAATTGTACAAAAAACCTTGGCGCTACATTAAAGCAGCTGCTTAAAATTGAGAGCTAAATGTGAAATGGCCTTTACCTTGGGTTCAAGAAGTTAGAAAGATACTACCTGGTCCTCAGTGAATATCACTCTTGTAGTGGAGACAGATTACAAAATTACATCTACACCTCCCGCAAGCCCTTAGCGAGGTGTAATGGGTAGAGGTACAAAAGATACATGGGTCCAATATCAGATCAGCACCAATATAAAGAAAATTGTCCATATTGGAAATCAGCCTTAAGTGGTCAGTAATTTGGCCGATAAATGGCCTGTGCATGCACGCAGCCGCAACACAGCATGTAGGCAGTAAAGAGTACAGCTGGCAGTGTGGAGAGCTGCGTGCAGCTGGTAAGTCTGTTGTGGTAGAAGGGAAGAGAGGGCTGTGGGAGGGCAGATCAAAGCCCCCATGCTGAGGAGGATGGGGCTGGGGCAGGCCCTGCCCAGCTAGGGCAGGGGAAAATCAAAGTTGCAGAGATGCAAGAAATCACAACATTA